AGGTATTCGGCCAATCACAACGCATTGGATAGCTGGCCAATCAGAGCACACCTCGTTTTTCAGACCGATGAGTTTTGTAAAAATCGACGCGTTTCAGAAAGGCGAGGCATAGAGGAGAAACAATAATGTACAAGATGTGGAAAATTATGGTTTTTTTGAACCTTAAATCGCATAAACACATTTCATTACACCAAATACACAAAATAATGTTCTTTTTAGCAACATCATATGACCCCTTTAATGACACAGTCAGCAGCAGGTATTTATAGACTGCTGTCCCTTTAAGACCTGATGCACGGATCTAATAAAATAATACACATCAGATTTTTTTCTCAGCTGTTTTTGTTCACCTAAGACATAACCTACTATGTTTACGAGAATGATTGTTGAGACGGGTATTTTGATATAATTTTATGTGTGTGTGTATGTTCAAACGCAAGGAGATGTGAAAGAGGAAAGCCTCCGTGTGTGTGCACGCTTCGGGTGTGTGCAGCTTTATGCACAGGAAAAAGCACACAAATACTGAATTGAGTTCTCTTGTGCCTCTTCTGCACTGGAATGGTTTGAAATTATTTGAATGTGTAAATTGGCAAGACAAAACACATACAAATGATAAAGTTTCACTTCATGATGGTTACACTTTGCAATTATTCTGTGAATTAATGGCATCAAAACCTTTGAAATTCCCTGATTCAGACTGCTATAATTTTGTGTAGTTTAGAAAATATTAGATTCCCCATTTCTGCTGAACTGTAGTGTTGGGTAAACTATCCCTCTAAGCTGTATTCCCAGTGGGGGCCACTGGCTATAGATGCCACACTGTAGACAAAAAAACCAACTCACACACTCTGTGAACCACCTACACACTGCAACACAAAGCTGCTGGAGCTGTAATAGTTTAGTAGAGATTACCACAGTTTGCCATCACTGGCCCAGTCTAAAGAGCTTTTATAAACCATCTGACATTCAGACTCCTGCCCTGCTTTAAAGAAATAGTTCACCCAAAAATGACAACTTACTACAATACATCTCATCCTCATGGACTGAACCAGATTTGACTGTTCTTGCTGTGAGATGTTACTTCCCTCTTCCACCAAGGCACTTGCAATTTCCCGGACACGTCTGGAGGTACACATGGTTTGACACTGTGAGGACGATCAGCTGGGCTGGGCATCTGGGCATCTTTATTCTGGTGTTTTTCAACATCAGTAGAAAGGTCTCTTTAATGTCCAAAATGATTTAAACTGTGACATTAATTGCCTTCCAATTAATTTCAAACCATAAGTGTCTTAAGGACTGTTCCACATGCGGAATAAATCTTTAATCATTTTTGCAAAATTATCTTTACATTTTTTTTTTAATTTGTAATTTTATTTGGCTATATATATATATATATATATATATATATATATATATATGCGTTAACGCATGAGATTAATTTTTTCAGTTTAACGCGTTTCGTTTAGAATTTCGTTTAGAATTTAGTGTTTGATAACTTTATTCAATTTCTGTGTATTTCCTACCTGTCGGAGGCACAGGTAGCTACATATGACATTTATTATAATTATAGTTTATGTGAAGAAGTTGTTCTTTTTTAAAGTCTAATAAATGTTAAAATTGATAGCTCTCAATTATACTGTAATGTTGAATGGCAATAGTAAATGGCTGAATATTAGTGAAAAGAAAACTATTTTATAGAGACAACAGTAGTAGACAGCAGTATTGGTATGAGTTATACTTGCCTTCAGTCATAAAAAAGATGCCATTAAACAAATATTTAAAATATACTGTCTTTATGTTGTTTCTGCTTTAATTTGATTATTGAATGTGAAATTATTGCAATATAAAATTATATTTAAAACTTGAATGTTAGGTGGGAGAGAGAGAGGAGAATCTTTCTTGATTTATAGAATGTACATCTTTGACTGTAAGAAGATCTTGCCTTGAAGTCCCACATCAATGGGATTTTTCAACACATGACCTTCCTACTGGCCATTATACTGTATTATATGAACCTATGTTCGAGCTGTTAGTCATAGATGGAATGTCTGTGTGAAACTTTAAGCACGTGTACATTGTGTCAGTCAGTACTTGATCTAATGTGCACTTTCTTTCTTTTTTTCTATGCTCTTTCTCTGACTCACTGGGTCCATAAAATAGAAAAATAAAGAAAAACTATTTTTATATTTTTCTTTGATCTGACGTATGACCTCTTTCATTTCATCTTTCTCTCCCACATTTCTATTGACCATAACTGATGAACTACACAAATGAAAGAGAACTGAATGACTTCACAATCCTTGCCGCCTGTCCTTTGTTGAGTATGATGCTGCCTGGCTTTGTCCTTATTGCTTGAAAATCGTTAAGTCAAAGGTTTAAAAAAAAGTTTGTGACTTTTGAAGTAAATCTAATTAATGATTGTATGATAACATAACGCAGGTTCATGAAAGGAGGTCTATGACTCCTGCTTCTTTTCAGACAGTGCATAAAATCAGTGCAATTGAGGTATTGCTATGCTACAAGCAATATACATTTAACTCCAATCCTAAAGGAGTGCATGCTGCCAAAAATAAAAAATAATCGCTAAATCAATATAAGTCAGCTTGGTAGACCTGTACTTTTGAGCTCAAGCAGTTTTGTAATTTGGCAAAGATTGCAGCCCTAGACTGAAATGGGAGGGGAAGCTCTATTTTTCAAAATTCAATAACTGTATATCATAAAATTAGCCCCATTTCATCCAAAAAGAGCAGCCTCTGCCATCACCATAACTCTGATGAGCCTTCAGTGGAAGTGTTTGATGACACGGAGGGTCAAGGATAAGGAAGAAAAATCAGTCATGAGGGAATTTGATTGGTTAAAAGGAATATGATGTAAGTTTTATCTCAAGGGTAAACAATGTCCATGAGTGTGAGAAGCTATACACGGCCACTATGGACACTATAATATTGCCTGCTACTCTTGTCCCTCTCTCAGCCTGTGGGGCATAAGCAGAACAGGACACTATAGAAACTGCAATGACTGACAACCTTCTGCAACGCAGCTAACGAAGAGTTTGTGCAGAGAAACAGGGTATGTAAGTTCACACTTGACTAAACCAAACTGTATGTCTCTTTGATGATAATCTACTTAACATTGGAAAGACAATGAGAATCTATTTCCATGTATAAGTATGCCCTGGAGCGCAAGTGCCTCACTTGGCCACACCAGCAGACGTGGGGTGGCAGCATTAGAAACAACTGTATCTTCTTCCACGTTCCCATGGGCCTGACTGATGCCACATCCATCTGTCTTCCTGCATCCGTTGCGCCAATTTATGACCTCACACATTGTGTGTGTGAGTGTGTGTTTGAGTTATGTCCTTTAAATTCCCTGTACATCCTCTCTGTCTCTGTATCTTAGCAGAGAACAAGCCAGTCGCCACTGCTCATCTCATCAAGCGAACAGAGGAACAAAAACACTCACGCAGACCAACAAACACAATAATGATTCTAGTTTAAACCTCTCTGCAGGTTAAGAGCATGATTATAGCGCTTTGGCTGTCAAAAGCCATTTTGGCTCGCAAAAACGTTAACACGGCAATTTGGGCTTACTTGTTGATTTGATTCCCGCTTGCTACATGGAGTGGAAGAAAAGCAGAGGGAAAGAGTTGCTGCTGCTCATCCACAGATCATGTGGAGATAGATGTTTAGCGCTCTAATTCAGTGCTTTTCAGTTTCTAGGTTAGACCAACAAATAAATATGTTTAAGGGATGATACACAATCAGGCTTCCATTATAGCACAATGAACCCTGACAGATCTGTGACGTGTACTGTTGACTGTATGACTCTCTGCAGGTCTAAAAGGTCTATAGGTTGCAACATTCAGAAATTACTTCTTGAATTTGAAATGAGGTAGCAAACAGAATAAATCATTGCAATTTGAATTATAATGACAGATAGCTGGACTGACATGTGACTGCACAGATGTGTGGAAACACCTAGGAATGGGTATAATTGTCTAGGTGTCTGTGGTTAAGAGGTGTTGGCAGCTTTTTACACTGATAATTTAAAAAATCACATTTTATGCTCACATGCTTTCTCTCTGTCACAAACACAAATACACAACTTACCAAGCCAGTACTCTCCAGTGATTTTGCCAAATCCTTCCCTGTAGGAGTCCCACTCCCTGAAGAAGTTCACAGACCCATCCTCCCTCCGCTGGATTACCTGAAAAAAAAAAGCAGAAACAGAATAATAATTAACAACAAATTTGTTTCAAAACTTTGTTAGTGGGTTGCATGATATTAAGCTTTTTAACTTCTGAACAACAGGAAAATCTCCTGTTGTGTTCTAATGTATGATGTATGTGTGTGAGTTCGTGCATTTGAATAAAGTAGGCCTACTGTGTGATTTTAGGGCTCTTCCTCAGAGTAAATCCATGATAAGAGTGAAAGATTAAACTCTCTCAGCAGAGACTGATATGAGACCTGAACAAACATCACGATGGAACAGCTCAGCATTGTGATCTTAAGGATAATATCATTTAATGGAGTATGATATCTTGATTTAGTCAAGACTGACTCAGAAGAGTAGGACTTACAGAGCTCATAATCCATTTGCGTATAGACACAATCACATACTGTACAGTGCCATGCAAAAGTTTGAGTGCACTTCTATCATGCATTTTTTTTATTCTTTAAACTATATGACTAGTTTGAGTCATTTTGAATTAAAAAAAGACTGACATGAAAAAAAAAATGAATATCAGAATGTCTCAGTATTTGAGCTGTCCCCCTTTTGCATTAAATGACAGCAGCGCTTAAACTGCATGAACTCCACACATCTGTGTAAAAAAATTGTGAAGTAAACTAAAACCAGTAACTTAGTATGAAATGTTGGATCAACATATTATATTGGAACACATTTTCTACTAAACAATCCTAAGTAAAACTCTATCCCCTAACAAACCCCTAAAATCATTAAGAAATTACTGCTAAAATGTTTTAAACACCTGAAAACCAGTGTTAACCCAAACCCTAAAATCTGAATGGTTGGTTAAAAGGTTGTTGAAGGATAAAAACATGTTTACAGTGACGTTCAAAAGGATTTTGCCAGTGTACAACTGTCACAATGTCTGGTTGGTGTGCCCATGTAAGGCCACATTTCTTTACTGTGTTTGTTTCTCTGGACTTCAGTTCCCATCACCCTTTGCTTTTACAATCAAGTCTCAATTCATTCAGCTGTGTCTCATTTCCTTGTTAACTTATCCTCATATAATGCTGCATTCAAGTCCTCCTGGGACGTTCGTACTTACGAGCTGACAAGTCGTAATTACGATGTCAGGTGCGTTCAAGTCAGTTTAGTCGGCACAAGATGACGGTGTACCTTCTTTTAATAAATTACAAGAAAATACAACAGGGCCTGTTAACTCTACTTACAGAAAATGAAGAGCAAAGAATTCGCATCAGGTGTGTTTTTCACCTATAGGTGCAAAAATGATAGCATTTGTTTTACGCATGTTTCTCATTGACACGCCCCCAACTCGGAAACTCGGGGCTAAAAGAAAATTTCGAGTTTCCCACTCGTAATAACGACTTTGTGGTGGCGTTCATGTGCGTTCAACTCGTAAATACGATCTATCCGACATGACTTGAACGCACCATAAGCCCGGTTCTCTGTGTCTTTGGTTGCTGGTTTATTATCTTCTGTTATGCATTTTCTGATGCTCTGATTTGGATTATTCTTTGTTTTGGGATTTTTTACAATAAATGATGCTTTTGGATCTGCTTGTTTTGGAGCATTCCGTGATGACGACAACAACAAGCAGAGGAGGAGGAAAGTTGAATTAGAGTTCAAATTTTAGCAAGAAGGACATTAAAGATGATGCGTCCTAAGAAAGTGCAATAGCGGACATGCACAGAATAAAAGAGATCAAATGTGCCAGCATAATGAGTCTGTCAAAATCGCTGACACTAGTTTTGACTGTTGTCTGTGTGAGAGTTTTTTTATTTATTTTTTTATTTTTTTTAAATGGCACAGAAGGGTAGTCAGTGCAATATGGTAATCAGAAACAACACTCTTTGTCAGTGTTTGTTCTTCTGCATTATCTGTAATCCCTCTGGGTAAATGGCATGTTTGCAAAAAACAATGCGTCTAACGCATTTAATTTCTCCTATCACACTAAAATGTCTGGTCATTTGAAGTCATAAACAGGTGGACTTCGTTTTCTGTTGAAATTCGGTAGCGACGAGAGATGGGGAGGGAAAGGGGTTGATCCAGTACGGGATGACAGTTGTCAGTCATCTTAAAGGTTTCGCTCTCTCCCGCATCACTCCCACCCTGTAGCTGCCCTGGAGGCTCCTGGGAGATCAACCCTGCCTGCACAGAACTGAGGCAGACACCACTGTCAAGGTTGAAATTACACATGCATCCACACACACGCATACAATCATACCTGTGTGTTATCTTGCTTTTTTTCAATAGATTGAAGGCAGGCAAGAAGTGAAGGTCAAAGGGGCATTGACCATCACTGTCTAACAACAGTGTCAGCAGAGGCAGATAAACAGACAGTGAGAGAGAGAGGGGGAGTATTAAAGGTTAAATTAGAATCGGTCGACCTCTTTCTCGCTGTCCCTGTCACCTAACAGTTTTCAGGAATGAAGCAATCCCTTTCCAACAAATACACATAAAAGAACGACTTTCATTTGTAATGTGAAACTTTTACCTAAAATGATTGTGGTTAGTTTCCCTTATTTTTAAAGGGATAATACACACACACACACACACACACACACACACACAACATCTGTCATTTATTCACCTTCATGTCATTGCAAACATTGAAAAATGATATTTTGAAAATGTTTGATGTTTTTGTCTATACAATGCAAGTCAATAAAAATCAAAGCTTTCAAGCTCCAAAAAAGTTAAAAAATTTAAGTTAAAATTAATTTCCAAAAGGCTTGACTGGTATATCAGATCAAAATGTAAATTAAAATGTAATTCACTCTCAATACAAAATAAAACACTGACCAACGTACAGATAGATAAACTATATGAAATATGGCTATATAAACTTCAAATGTCACCGTGCTTGATCATATGAAATGAGAAAACAAATTTGATGTTAGTTGAGGTTTGTGTTGCCATATTTGATGTAGTCTGTGTACATTTCTGAAAATTTAAATCTGTTCATCATAAAATGATCGTGCTGCTTCAGAAGACTTAGCATAAACCAGTACGGTCATATGAATTACTTTGTACCCTTTTTGGAGCAGGCGAGTTTTGAATTAATAGTAATAATGTGCACAAAAACAGCTGACAATTCTTTAAAACATTTTTTTTTAAAATTTTACTAAAGATGGTGGATCCTGTAAATGGACCTTAAAAATGAATGGAATTTCACACAGCTAGTAATATACACTAAATAATAATTCACACTACACATCTGAGGAAAATGTTAGTTTGTAGTCTCTATCTATTATTCAGGTGGGGAAAAAATCACCAAAAGTTCAATGAGCTGTTTCATGTCATTCACACAATCAAAAGACTTAATGTCACCTCACATACAGTGTGTATAGAAAAGAATCACCCCCCTTTAAAATGTTGCTTTGCAGACTGAATTGAAGACGGACACAGTTTTTGTTTTATCCACCATGTTTTATTTACTCTTATAAATACAGCTACTTATAACATCTTATAACAACAATATGCAACTTATAACATCTAAGTGAAAGCTATAACACCAACATTTCAGTCCTTGGTAGTGCAACTGCAGCAAGCACAGTGAAGTCTATTATTAAGAAGTGGAAGGTATTTGGTACAACACAGACCCTCTCTGGATCAGGACGTCGCTCCAAACTGGATGAAAGAGCAGGAGGAAACTGGTCAGAGAGGCTCCCAAGAGGCCTACAGCAATTCTGAAGCAGGTGCAGGAATTTATGACAAAGAGTGGTAATTGTGTGCATGTAACAGCAATATCACAAATTCTCCACAAATGTGGCTTGTATGAGAGGGTTGCAAGAAAAAAGCCACTCCTCAAGAAAGGCCACATGCAGTCACAACTGAGCTTTGCCAAAACGCACCTTGAAGATTCTGAGGCAGATGAGACTAAAATTGAATTATTTGGCCTCAACACCAAACGATATGTCTGGCGGAAATCCAATACAGCTCACCATCCAAATAACAGCATTCCTACAGTAAAGCATGGAGGTGGTAATATCCTGTTATGGAGCACAGGTCAGGATGGAAGGAAAAATGGATGGGGCAAAAAAACATCAAATTCTTGAGGAAAATCTGCTGCCCTCTGCCAGAAAGTTGTCAGTGGGAAGAAGGTTTACCTTCCAACATGACAATGACCCAAAGCACACAGCAAAACTGACCACAAAGTGGTTTTATTTATATCATATGGATGTTATAAGTTGCACTGAGTAAATACAGCTGCATAAAACAAAAACTGTGTCTGTCTTCATTTCAGGCTGCAAAGCAAAAAGCAAAAAGCAAAAAAAAAGAAGTGATTATTTTAAAAGGGGTGATTCTTTTCTATAACCACTGTGATATTAGCCTCTTCACACCCTGGTGTTTACAGCAATTGATTCGAAACCCTTACAGTGCAGTGATCTGTGAATCTCGGCCTGTGGTCTTTGTGTCATGACGGTGCCATTTCACTGCAAATGACAAATTGCATCCAAAATGTCAGTCGCTGCTGACTAGACTAATTAAAGATTCTCTTTTAATTAAAGTTACCACCGAAGGATTATGGCAGCTGAGGGCATCACTGTGGTGGCACCTGCTCCGTGTGGTTCTTCTTTACAGAACCTTTTTGGAATCAATATCTTTTTCTTGCACGTGATAAAAAAAGCGAAAATGATTTGTCCTCGCTCGAGGAGGGCTCTGATATGTTTGGTTATAGCAGGTCAGTTCCTGGAGTGCTACTTGACATTTGATGTGTCACTTGGGTTATGCCTTTTACATTCCTCAGAGAATAAAAATGAAAAATTAAGTCTGCATTACAAGTTCTGAGTTGATTCCATTTATTAAATATTCAGAATACAGAAGTCGTGACTTTATGGTTAAAGTTATAATTTGTGTACGGTGAATTATTATTTAGCTTTCATTAATAGCTGTGTCCAATAA